GTCAGTTACTCGCAACAAATATTTATTTATATATGCATCTATGAAAGCGTTCAGCTTGTGTGAAAGCAACTAAGCTTATGTTGACATAAGTTTTCGTGGCTTTTTAAATTATATACTATTTCATTGGTGTATAAACAGGCAAATAACACACTGTTAGTTGGTAATGTATAAGTGAGTGTTTATTCAACTTTTAGTGAGTGACTACTAGTAGTCAGTCAATTCCTCCGTAATATATTTGGCAAAACATTGTTGTGAAAGTGCAATGAAGTCGAATTGATAACATCATCACATCAGCAGCAGTAGTAGTCGTAACGGAGCACACTGAAAGAAAATCGTAAACATCAAGCAAATTGTTGAATGGAACAACGAACGAACAAATCAATTCATCTGGTGGACTTGCTCGTTTTAGATTGTTCTATGGAAGAATTTTGCTTTTCCACTTATTTCATTAGTATGCACTCTTTACGATAGTGAGGAATGGATGTGGACATAAAAATATGCCAAATACTTTCGAGAGCATCTGAATGACATTCGAGTAAAAGATGAGACAATTTTGGGAATTTTTTTGTTGCAGAAGGGCAACGACGATCATTTTTCTTGTCTTGCNNNNGGAGGTGGTCTTGTGGGAGTGTGACTTACATTAGTGTCACTGAGCGAGAAACTTCGAATGTGATAATACTTTCATTATCAGTCGTGATTATCAGTCATCATTCCGATGATAAGAGCTGTACTAATAACAACTGCTTCATTTATTACTGTTATCATTATTATTAGTACAATTATTATTATTAATATTATTATATTATTATTAATATTATTATTAACACTATTATAATAGCAAAAACAATAATGATAAAATAATATTATTAATACTAGAAATGACAATAACCATATAAAACTGTCATTTGCAAAACGTTGACAAAAAGTGCATGCATGATTCGTTTCATGCTTACGGTGAGATAACGTCATCGAGCGTCATTACTCTTTGTCATTAGTGATTCGTTTGCATACGGAATGAATCGAACCGAAGTTCTGTACTGCATTATTGTTCTCCATACGTGTCAGTAGTCACATCAGCTCAGATCACATTCGATTCATCTATGCAGGCAGTTCTGTGGCATTGTTATGTACATTTCATTTGTAAATTACTATAGATCAGAGTATGTTATCAGTGAATAATTAACGTGAATATTGTGCATACAAACTTCATGAATAGCTATCAGATTGATATAGTGGTTGTATGGGTGCGTGTTGCGATGATGATGCAAGCAACTGATTGTACAGAAGCAGCTAGCATTCCTTTGTAGAGAGTCAACCGATAATTAGAATTCATGACGACGACGGCAGTGCCCGTTCGTAGTTAGATGCTGCTCATGTTCATGTTCACGAACGAACACAATAAAATTTTTTACTCTTCAAACAACTTACTTCCTCGAGTAATTAAGGTATTTATTTATAAAATTATCACAATAGGCAGTGATCGAATAATGAGTTAAATATACTTTTAGTGTGTATTTATATGGTAGTGATAGAAATGGTGACATGACAATGCAACTGCAAAACATTTTCAATTGATCACATTTCATTTTATCGTTATTCTATAAATTAAATTTAACAAATAATAAATATTATAAAAGATCACATGCATACGTTAAAAAATTAACAACAACAACAACAACATTTACTTATAGGTAATGAATCGATATTATTCATATATTATATCGCATCTCAATCATTTTATAAAGCTAACGACAACAACAATAAAACACGATAGAAATTTGTGGTGGTGGTGGTGGTGGTATCATATTCAATCCAATAACTCATTAGTCAACAAAACACAGTAAGTACTACGTTCCTAGAAACACCCTAAATTGCGCACATTTTGACGAGTGTTCCTCCTCAAAATATCAGAAGACATTTATGAATCAAGAAGAACATCGCGACAGTTCAAACAACAACAATTCAAAATGATAACAACCTCAATGAGCAAACAAGTATAGTGAATGATGAAGTAGTATTAGAATGGATTAGGTAAGGATCGCTGAACTGCTTACTAGTTTCACTTGGATGCATTTATCGATATATATACATACATATGCTATCAATTTGATAACACATTTTGTAAAAATCTGATCTTATACTATCGTATAAACTAGAAACTAACTAAGATCAATCGAGTGATCACTGGTTTTGAGATCGGATCGTTTACCAATTATCAGCATTTTTTTTCCAACTAATTAAAATAGTTCACTGTGGTCGTGTACGAAGTAGGGTTTGAGCATGGATGAATTTTACGGCATAAACGAGGTAACCGAGACGGATTAGTAGAGATAGTCAAATGAATCGAGCGAGTGAGTGAAATCGTTGTTGGGAATCAACGAGAATAGCACAAAAATCATGCAACACATCAATATCGCTTTGAGTTCGCGTAATTTCCATTTAGAAGATAAAACCTTATTCTGGTGTGAAATGAATCTAGTGAAGAATATTCTCTATGATAATGACGATGATAACATTGCTCACATGGACACGGACACTCATGTTGATAATGGGATATGAACGTGAACAGTTCAGCGCTTCATGAGATAAATCAATACATCAAAATTTGAAGAGGGTTGGAAACAATTTTTAAAAAAATAAAGTGAATTGTTCACGGTGAATATCTACTATTGCGCATCAATGGCAATCGAAACGAATATGAAATATATAATGGCACATGTACGCTGATAGCCAATAACAACAATACTACGAAACTACTGAAATTGAGATTAATTGATGCTTATGGATCGATCGCTTGCTTGATTGATTGATTGACTGATTGTGTGCTTAATTTTTGATAGATGATGAAAATTTTATATGCTTGGAACTCAGTGAGGAATGTAGTTTGCACAAAAAAACAAACAAAAACAACACAAAAATATGTATGATGAAGATCAACAACCAT